TATGTATAGCAGCAGAGCAAAAAAAAAAATATATATATTTGAAATCACCAACAGAAATTGCACATGAAAACAACAAAAGTTTATGTTCAGTATCTTCAACCCAAAAGATACACGTACAACTTTAACACTAAAGAAAAAATTGAAATTACACAAAATGCCCCGCTCAATTTAGAAGAAGAAAAAAGAAACTAAACACACATTTTTTCATGCCACAAATCTGTGGCAAGCAAATGGGCAAAAGAAGTTGTTGAGATAGAAGATGAAGGCAGCTGTTTAAGAAAATTTAATCAAATGGGCAAATTTTATTAAAAGGTAAGGGGAAGTTTTCAATTTGAATTGCTTTATGTTTCAATAGATAATATAAGTAGCAATTCAAGTTACTTGTGACTAAAAGGACAAGGAACTTTTCTATAGAAAACAAGAATGTTTCACAAGCAACCTTCCCATAGAAAACAAGCATGTTTCACAATTAGCTCTTCTATAGAAAAGAAGCTGGATTCACAAGCAACTTTTCTATAGAAAAGAAGCAGGTTTCACAAGCAACTTTTCTATAGAAAAGAAGCAGGTTTCACAAGCAAATTTTCTATAGAAAAGAAGCAGGTTTCACAAGCAACTTTTCTATAGAAAAGAAGCAGGTTTCACAAGCAATTTTCTATAGAAAAGAAGCAAGTTTCACCAGCAACTTTTCTATAGAAAAGAAGAAGTTTCACCAGCAACTTTTCTATAGAAAAGAAGAAGTTTCACCAGAAACTTTTCTATAGAAAAGAAGCAAGTTTCACCAGAAACTTTTCTATAGAAAAGAAGCAAGTTTCACCCGCAACTTTTCTATAGAAAAGAAGCAAGTTTCACCAGCAACTTTTCTATAGAAAAGAAACAAGTTTCACCAGCAACTTTTCTATAGAAAAGAAGCAAGTTTCACCAGCAACTTTTCTATAGAAAAGAAGCAAGTTTCACCAGCAACTTTTCTATAGAAAAGAAGCAAGTTTCACCAGCAACTTTTCTATAGAAAAGAAGCAAGTTTCACCAGCAACTTTTCTATAGAAAAGAAGCAAGTTTCACCAGCAACTTTTCTATAGAAAAGAAGCAAGTTTCACCAGCAACTTTTCTATAGAAAAGAAGCAAGTTTCACCAGCAACTTTTCTATAGAAAAGAAGCACGTTTCACCAGCAACTTTTCTATAGAAAAGAAGCAAGTTTCACCAGCAACTTTTCTATAGAAAAGAAGCAAGTTTCACCAGCAACTTTTCTATAGAAAAGAAGCTGGTTTAACAAGCAACTTTTCTATAGAAAAGAAGCTGGTTTCACAAGCAACTTTTCTATAGAAAAGAGTCTTGTTTCACAAGCAACTTTTCTATAGAAAAGAAGCAAGTTTCACCAGCAACTTTTCTATAGAAAAGAAGCAAGTCTCACCAGCAACTTTTCTATAGAAAAGAAGCAAGTCTCACCAGCAACTTTTCTATAGAAAAGAAGCTGGTTTCACAAGCAACTTTTCTATAGAAAAGAAGCTGGTTTCACAAGCAACTTTTCTATAGAAAAGAAGCTGGTTTCACAAGCAACTTTTCTATAGAAAAGAAGCTGGTTTCACAAGCAACTTTTCTATAGAAAAGAAGCTGGTTTCACAAGCAACTTTTTTATAGAAAAAAAAAGCAGGTTTCACAAGCAACTTTTCTATAGAAAAAAACCAGGTTTCACAAGCAACTTTTCTATAGAAAAAAAAACAGGTTTCACAAGCAACTTTTTTAGAGAAAAGAAGCAGGTTTCACAAGCAACTTTTCTAGAGAAAAGAAGCAGGTTTCACAAGCAACTTTTCTAGAGAAAAGAAGCAGGTTTCACAAGCAACTTTTCTAGAGAAAAGAAGCAGGTTTCACAAGCAACTTTTCTAGAGAAAAGAAGCAGGTTTCACAAGCAACTTTTCTAGAGAAAAGAAGCAGGTTTCGCAAGCAACTTTTCTATAGAAAAGAAGCAGGTTTCACAAGCAACTTTTCTATAGAAAAGAGCCTTGTTTCACAAGCAACTTTTCTATAGAAAAGAGCCTTGTTTCACAAGCAACTTTTCTATAGAAAAGAGCCTTGTTTCACAAGCAACTTTTCTATAGAAAAGAGACTTGTTTTGTTTCACAAGCAACTTTTCTATAGAAAAGAGCCTTGTTTCACAAGCAACTTTTCTATAGAAAAGAGCCTTGTTTCACAAGCAACTTTTCTATAGAAAAGAGCCTTGTTTCACAAGCAACTTTTCTATAGAAAAGAGCCTTGTTTCACAAGCAACTTTTCTATAGAAAAGAGCCTTGTTTCACAAGCAACTTTTCTATAGAAAAGAGCCTTGTTTCACAAGCAACTTTTCTATAGAAAAGAGCCTTGTTTCACAAGCAACTTTTCTATAGAAAAGAGCCTTGTTTCGCAAGCAACTTTTTTATAGAAAACAGTCTTGTTTCACAAGCAACTTTTCTATAGAAAAGAGTCTGGTTTCACAAGCAACTTTTCTATAGAAAAGAGTCTAGTTTCACAAGCAACTTTTCTATAGAAAAGGGTCTAGTTTCACAAGCAACTTTTCTATAGAAAAGAATCTAGTTTCACAAGCAACTTTTCTATAGAAAAGAGTATTGATTCACAAGCAACTTTTCGATAGAAAAGTGTTGTGTTTCAAAATCAAAATTTCTATGGAATAGTTAGCTTTTCTATTCTTCCAAGCAACTTTCCTTACAAGTACATCTTCTGTACTTCTTTTCCAAATAAATTTGAATTATTTTTGAATTCCTATTATTTAGTTTACCAAACTATATAAAAATATTTAAAAGACAATATAAAAATATGTAGATATTTCTAGTCATGAAAAAGAAACAATATTTTAGCGTGCTTTGTGGTGTTGCATGTCATACAAAGTTGCATACAATGTGATTATCCGAAATAAATAGAAGTCAAAATAACAAGAAATTCCAATAATAATGAAAAGTTTTTAACGTTTACACCAGAGTAAGGCAAAGACCCGAGACTCAAACAAAAAACTATAGATAGATATAGACCGAAATACAAAAAAGGACAGACAGACAGAATGACAGAGAAACAGGCAGACAGACAGACAGATGAACATAATGAAACCCACAACTGTTAACCACACAACCAAGGCGAATAGAGACAAACAACACAGACAAGAGGCCGATAAACGAAACATTCTGTAGTTTAGATTCATGTAAAAGGAAAAAATAATTATTTTTGGTTCGTTTGTTTGTTTGTTTCTTTTTCTGTATCTACTCCTGGCCTGCCTATGAATGGCAGAGTTTGTCTAAAATGTTGGTCGTTTGCAGTAACAGCGACTGACTAATGCCGCAAAGGAAATGGCAATAAACTGTGTTGTTGTTTGGTTTGTTTAGTTTTTGTAGTTTTTTTTCTTCATCTGTGATTTTTTTCTTTTTTTTTTTTGGCTTAGATTATGCGTTTTTGTAAGTTGTTTTTGGCTTTTGTGCTGCGGATTTTGACTGCTAAATATTGTTGTTTTTTTATTTTAACTTTAACCAAGTTTTTTTTATACTTTACTTAAGTTTTGCTGTTCTTAACATTTACTTTTTGTTTGAGTGTTTTTTTTTATTAATTTTTTGCACATGCCTTTTGTGTCTGTTTTTGGTTGTTAATAGTTTTTGTTGTTGACTTTTTGTTGCTGTTTTTAAGTAGAAAACCACACTCATTTATAATAAAGATTTGTGTTTAACTTATGTTTGTTTTAACAAAAACTAAAACATTACTAGACAGATAACGATTTGAAATATTGTTTAATTTATTTTTAGATGACAAAGAAAACTTGAAATGGATTAACTAAAGAACTATAGAAAAGAGCATTTTTTGTAAACAACTTTTCTATAGAAAAGAGCATTTTCTGCAAGCAACTTTTCTATAGAAAAGAGTGATGTTTCACAAGCAACTTTTCTACGGAAAAGAGTGATGTTTCACAAGCAATTTTTCTATTGAAAAGAATGATGTTTCACAAGCAACTTTTCTATAGAAAAGAGTGATGTTTCACAAGCAACTTTTCTATAGAAAAGAGTGTTGTTTCACAAGCAACTTTTCTATAGAAAAGAGTGTTGTTTCACAAGAAACTTCTCTATAGAAAAGAGTGTTGTTTCACAAGCAACTTCTCTATAGAAAAGAGTGTTGTTTCACAAGCAACTTTTCTATAGGAAAGAGCATTGTTTCACAAGCAACTTTTCTATAGAAAAGAGTGTTGTTTCACAAGCAACTTTTCTATAGAAAAGAGTATTGTTTCACAAGCAACTTTTCTATAGAAAAGAGTGTTGTTTCACAAGCAACTTTTCTATAGAAAAGAGTGTTGTTTCACAAGCAACTTTTCTATAGAAAAGAGTGTTGTTTCACAAGCAACTTTTCTATAGAAAAGAGTGTTGTTTCACAAGCAACTTTTCTATAGAAAAGAGTGTTGTTTCACAAGCAACTTTTCTATAGAAAAGAGTGTTGTTTCACAAGCAACTTTTCTATAGAAAAGAGTGTTGTTTTATAAGCAACTTTTTTATAGAAAACAGTCTTGTTTCACTAGCAAATTTTCCATAAAAAAGAGTCTGGTTTCACAAGCAACTTTTCTAAAGAAAAGAGTCTTTTTTCACAAGGAACTTTTCTATAGAAAAGTGAGTTGTTTCACAAGCCACTTTTCTATAGAAAAGAGTGTTGTCTCACAAACAACTTTTCTATAGAAAAGAGTGTTATTTCACAAGCAACTTTCCTATAGAAAAGAGTGTGGTTTCCCAAGCAACTTTTCTATAGCAGCAGGTTTCACAAGCAACTTTTGTATAGAAAACAGTCGTGTTTCACAAGCAACTTTTCTATAGAAAAGCAGCAGGTTTCACAAGCAAATTAGAAACGTGTTGTGTTTCAATAGTAACTCTTTTTAAAAAAATTGCTTGCTTGGACGACCAAATAAGTTGTTTTTTTCAGAAAATTCTTTAAAATTTTCAAAACAAAATGTCGGCTAATGGCATTTTATGCTGTTTTTAACTCTTACCTTTTAAATTTGTTGTTGTTTTATTGTTGTTAAGAAAAAATTATCCAATATTCCATTTATTATACGATTTTTGTAGAAAAAAACCCAAATTTTGTGGTTAATTTTTAATTACTCTTTGTTAAAATGACACTTCACTTTATTTTGCAAATAAATTTTGATAATTTATTTTATATTTTTTCCCATTAATTTGCTAGAATTTAACACTTAATTTATTGAATTTTTAAGATATAAGCTGAAATTTTGCACAATTTCTATTTTTAAATGAATTTTTTTTGTTATTTGTTGCTATTTAAGCAATAAAAATTTGTTATTACATGAAATTTTTCTTTTTCTTCTTTTCTAGTTGTTTTATTTTTGTTTTTGTTATTTAAATGGCTGAAGTTTTTGTTTTTTTGCATTTGCTTTTGTTTTAAATACTTTTTCTTAAGTATTATTTCTTAGCAATATAAAATTTTTTTAACAAATTTTGTGGTATTTTTTTAATTTATTTCAGTTTAATTATTTTCTTTATTTTTTTTTACTTATTCGCTAGACATTCACTTTACAAACACACATACACACCTCTTTTTTTCCTGTAATTTGTTTTATTTTTATTGAATGCTTTTTGTTGTTGTTTGGGTTGTTTGTGTAAATGACATTTTTCATTTGTTGTTGTTGTTTAAACATAAAAATCACGTACACACAATTTCTTTCTTCTTTTCTCTTTTAATTTTTTATTCTAATTGTTAAATCTTTTAACTTTTTTTATAAATTATCACTAAATTCACTTTATTATTATTCCTTAACTATAAATTTAAAGTTTATTTTTAGTTAAATTTAAGATATTTTACATTTTTCTTAATTTCTTTACTTTTTAATTAAGTTTTTTTTTTATTAACTCTTTGTTGTTGTTTGTTTAATTCTTATTATAAACTTGTTTCACTTGTTCTCTCACTCTTTCTTTTATTATATTCATTATTTGTTTCTTTGTCTATCTCTCTTATTTCTTTTTGTGTAACATCTTTTTTTTTGTTATTTCTCTTTAGTTAAATATTTCTAATTATTTTTCTTTTTTTTTTAAATTCTCTGCTTTGTGTTCAATTTTCCGTTATTACCACATACACTGTACTTTTTTTTCTTTTGTTGGTATTTCATAAATTTTTCTTCTTTTTCAATTGTTATAAAATATAAAAACCTTTTTCTTTTCTTCCCCACTTTTACGTGTGTTCCTTTTTTTGGTTTATTTCGCTGCGCGTTTATTGTTTTTTCTTTTGTAACACAATTATTTTTATTATTGATTTTCCTCTGTGGTTTGTGTTAAGTTTTGTTTAATTAAATCTTGATTAAACACATTGATTTTAATTAAACCACACAGCGCCATTATAGCCACCTACTTCTTCCGTCTAACTCGTTCGCCGTTAAAAAAGGAACTGAAATTTTAACAAATATTCGCTGTTTTCTATTTCTTTAACTAATAGCGGCCATTTTGAATTTGGTGTAAATGAGTCCGCTATATGGGTACTCACTAAAACGGGGTTGTTGTAAAGCAACGAGTAATAGTAAAGTGACTATGTAAAAGTTTACAATATGCGAAACACCCTGTTGTTATTTGTCAAAAATGCAACTCTGTTGTATAAACAACTGTATGAAAAGGGTTGCCAGTTTTTAATAATATAATTAAACGAAAATAATTAAGAAAACCGAAACCGAAGTATACTTTTCTAAAGGTTTAAGCTGCGCTACTTACAAGGCATTATAACAGGCTTATGATCTCTTCTTTCTATTTCAAGATATCTTAACCCAAATATATATAAAAACAGTTATAATTTCCTAAAAATTTGTTATTGGCTTCCTCTCGTGACAAATTTTTTAACAGATGATATCTCGGCAAATACAAGAGAATTCAAAAAGTATATTCATCGGAAAGTTTATGAGAAATTATATAATTTTTTTATAAAATAAATTAAAAAAATTATAATTTTTTTATAAAATAAAGGCGAAATATAGTTAAAATGGAGTTTTTGTTAATTTATCAGAGCTCCTTGCATTATATTGAAATATCTAGAAGACAAAAGAAGATAGAACAAAGTTTAAATCATGATTTTAAAGGCGACACTTTGGACTTTTAGACGGCACAACAAATTTGATATCTTGGCGCTGTTATAACGTCTTAAATATTGCCAAAATGTGTTTTTTATGAGTTTAAGTCTACAATAAGTTGATGTGGTACAAATATTCTGAAATTCCAGATTTGTAATTAGAAAATCTGTTTTTTAATGCCAAAATTTTCACAAAATCACTTGGAAAATATATATATTTAGCGTTTACCTGATAAATATGTCATTTATAGAAATCACTTAAAGCTTCCATGAAATCCTAATCCATTAAATGCCTAAGATATTTAGCATTAAGTTTTTTATTTTTTATGAAAAATGTTTTTAAAGAATTTATCGGTATAAAGTAAAATAAGAAAAAAAAAAAAAATAAAAATATTTAACATACAATTTTCCAAGAAGTACCTATTTTCCAAAAAGAAGAAACCACAATATTTATTCGATAAAAAATTGGACAAATTTTACATTTCAAAAATATTTAAGGGTCATTTTTGTAAAGAAAATTTAAACTATTTTTTTATAAAAAAATGGAAACATTTTTTTAAAAAAAGTAAATCTTTTCTGAAAGAAAAATTTACGAAATTATTTTTTTAAGGTGAAAAATTCTTAATTAAAAATGTTTTCAAATTGACTTCTTTAGATGATAAATTAAAAAAAAAAAATTAAAAATTCGTGACATTAATATAATTAAGATATCTATGGAGTTAAAGTAATTTTCTGAAGGAGAGTTTGCATAGCGTCGAATGTACCTTTCCGGAAAATAGTATTTCAATATTCGTTTATTTTGTTTAAAAAATTTTCTGAAACAAATTTTCAATATTTTTAATAAAACATTTTCAAATATTTTTCGTACGAAAAATATTAAACTTTTAAATAGTTTCTAAAGAAAACTGTTGTAATTTATTAGGGAACATTTTCGAATTTTTTTAAACAAATATAGTTTTTTAAGAAATTTTCAAAATTTAAAAATTTTTTGAAGATGCGAAGTTATTAATAAGTTTTGCTTGAATAAAGTTTAAACCGAATACGTTGAATTAATACAATTTTAAAGCAATACAATTTCGAGGAGGACGATGATATCCCATCATGGCACAATTATTCTAGAGTGATGAAATTTTCACCTTGAGACTATATTATCAATTCTAAAGATCAGTTTTTCCTTAAAAAAAGTTAAATTTTATCCTTAAGATACAATTTGGAACAAACAAATAAAATTAAATTAAGGAAATAGGCGGGAGTTACAGTTGGTCGAAATAAAACTATATTTTCAAACGTCTAGATGTTCAAAATTAAAAAAAAGAACTTTTGCATTAGTTGTTTGGAATAAAATTAAAAATTATAATTTTATATATTGAATTAAATGGTTTTTTGTTCATTAAATATAGAAATTTAATGGAAAAAATAATTCCGATATAACGAATTTTTCGATTTAATGAAAGGGCCTGACATTATATAATCGTTATACCGGGAATTGCCTGTTTTTTGTACTAAATGTTCCTTAAACACTAAATTGTACTAAAATATATTTACAAACAGTCTGGTAACACTAATTTTGTATTTAGTTTAATAAAAACAACACTGTTTTTCTTGTTTTGTTTTCATTCTTGCATTCACAGTATTGCCATTGTTTTGTCTAACGCACTCTCTCACACAAACCTATACTTTCTTTTAGTTTTTTTACGATTGAAGCAGCCGCCGAAGTTTTTAATACCGAACGCCGTTGGCATTAATGGTGGTCAGCGTAGTTGTCTTCTATACACTTTGCTTATCTTTCCCCTATAATATCATTTTTAGTCTGTCTTTTCGTGCGCAGCCGATTTCATTAACTACGCCAGCATTTAGGAAAAATAGAAAAAGATTTTTCGTGTTGTGTGTTTAATTTTTTTATATATTTCGAGGCATCCAAGAAAAAAGTGGAAAAATTTAATAAATTCATTGAATTTCTTTGAGCAAAACGAGCAAAAACATTACTTTAGCTTCCCCTAGAAAATACAGTGACAAGAAAAAAAGTGTTTTTGGTGTAATTAGGTTTCTTATTGTTGTTGTTTGTATGACAAAGTTAATAACAACAATTAAAAGAAAAAATGTGGACAAGTTTCCATTTATTAAATATTTAAATCCCATAATTATATCTATTCAATAAGAAAAAAGTGCAAACTATAAAAGAATTAAAAAAATAATTTTTTTGCATCACTACCAAACGAAAAAAAATAGAGAAAAAAAGAAAATAAAAGAAAAACGAAAGGTGTGTATGAGTGTGAATAGAGAAAAAGCATAAAAAATACAGGAGAAAGATAAAAAGAAGAAGCATCAGCAGATGTAAAAAGAGAAAAACTAAAAGTAAATTTTCACTTGATTTTATTTATTTAGTTTGTTTTTATTATCAAGTATTTAACAAAAATTGTTGTTTTTTTAGTGTAACAAAGTAAAATTTAATAAAATTTATATTTTCTAAGGAAATAATAAATATTAAAACAATAACATATAACAGCAAAAATTGCAAAAACAAAAATTTAAGGGGTGGTTGTTTTAATAAGAAAATTTGCAAAAAAAAAAAAAATCAAATTTATGCCAAATAAGTGTAAAATAACATAAATTATTAACAAAATATTTCGTTTAAATTAATAATAAATGTGTGTGTGTTTTGCACAATACCTATTAGCTAACTAAATTTTCTAATAGAAATTTAATTTTCTTTTTAATTTTTAACAGAAAGTTTTGTAATAAATTGGACTTTTTAAAAATTTTCTTTACGGCTGAAAATTTGTTAAGGTAAGTTTTGTTTGAATAAATCCAGAACACAAAAACTTGTTTTTCTGGTTCCCCTGGGGAACCAGTACCTACAATAAAAATCATGTACATATTTGTAAGATTTTCTAATTGGGTGTTGTTTTTTCTTTAATCATTGAAATACTTATTCTTTACTAAAATCATTAAATTGCTAAAATTTAAATATGTATTAAAGTTTGCTAAAAAAGTTATTGATATGGAAAATTTTCAAATAATCACATCATTTTTGATGAAATTTTAGAAGTTAGTCTGGAACCGAACTAGAACTGAATAAGAACTGAACTAACTAGAACTGAACTAGAACTGAACTAGAACTAAACTAGAACTGAACTAGAACTGAACTAGAACTGAACTAACTAGAACTGAACTAGAACTGAACTAGAACTGAACTAGAACTAGAACTAGAACTGAACTAGAACTGAACTAGAACTGAACTAGAACTGAACTAGAACTGAACTAGAACTG